AAAATATTTACCCGTCTTGATACAAAACTTTCAAATACCTCCGCTAGGATAGCGCATATTACATCGATTGATATACAAGCAGTAGTTATCACATGGGTCTATTCCATTTTAGATTTAGTGTCACAAACGGTGTGCAATGATAGAATAGCTAATTACGTCAAAGATATTTGGATCTTAGAAAATTTATACATGAAAGCACTATAATTTCAAGTATTGGTTTTTCAATGACTTCAGTTCGTAACAAACGTTTTCATATTTGATTCATTAACTATTATCGATTTCAGAATTGAAAAGAAAAAATAATATTTCTGTGTATGATAGTCGATAAATTTTCGACTTGAATTTTGATTCTGCTTGACAAAAAAGCAATTTTATACAAATGTTTTTTGTTTTACTTAAGCCCCCCCCCCCCCCCCCCACCTCAGGATACCAACTTTTTCGATGGATTGTTGAATTTTCTTTTATTGCATAATTTGACAGAGCGAAGCGTCTACTTTCAGAATTTGTGTCCGTCTTTGAGGACAGTTACCGTCTTCATCTAGTTTTTGATCAAATTCTGGGCGCTCTATCATCCTGAAGATGGCGTTTGGAAGATGGAAAATAATTAATTCTGTGCTTAAAATGTCTCAATTCACATCGAATTTAAAAAGAAGAATGTAGTCTAGCGATTATTAATTTAGAAAATTGATGAAAAATCACAGAAAAACGATATTATTCTCAATAGGGTCGCTACAGTCGCCGCACTTGATACACTTTTCTTAAATTTTTTTCGCAATTAATTTCGTTTTTTATTAGAATCAGGATGCTGCGAGCATTCGAAAAATGTATAATACACCTACTTTGAGTGAAGGGTACGTTCAAACTTTTCATCAAAAAACTTGTTTGTCGTTTTTCTCAGTTCATGTTTTTTCGATGTTGGGGAAGATTTTTCTCGCTTCTACCTTCATAGAATTAATTCATTCTTTTTTTGTTCGATAGTCTGTGAAAAAATGAAGAGATTGACGTTGGGATTTTTCGATATTTTATTTCAGAGCCGAGTTATTTATTTTATATTGTTCAGAATTGGAACTTTTTTTACATGTGTTATCTTTCGATGAATTCCAAAAATTAGCGAAACAAAATTTTGAAAAAAACTCAACGTCAGTCTCTTCGTTTAAGTGTTTTCTATCGCCTGATATGATTTTGCGCGATTCCAATCGATTACAACAAACTAAAAATCTTCCCCAAGGTACCCTCCCGTTTTCGTTACTCCCGGTTATTTTTCTCCCGAACAAAAAACTTTGATTGGATGAAAAGTTGGTGATAATTCTTTCTACACGTGACCAACATGCACGGAAAATTTCAACTCAATCGGTCCATCAGAAGTCATAGTGCATTCCTGAGGTGGGGGGGGGGGGGCCCTTAACCAACTGCTGGTACCGATGAAATCAAACTCATTCTATTATAGAAGACAAGTACATGATTCTGTTGAAGATCATATGTTACCGATGAACCTTCTAATAATGGAATCACTTGTAAACCTATAAAATATATACAATTTTTTAACATTAAACTTTAAAACAAAAACTATCATATTTTTTTTTCTTACGTGGATTCTGACTTCGTATTATTGAAACAGCTTGATTAAATGTTCTACCAACTAGATACGGCCGCAATTGATACCTTTCTAACATATTTACGTATCATGAATAGTTACAAATGCTAAATTTTTTGTACTCTCTATCATCCATTTATAGGGATGATCGAAGAAGAGAATAGTATTTATTTTTTTTTGTTTTGCATCATATTCCTGTAAACCCTCTCTGATAATAGAAGACCCCCATATTACAAGATCCCCCATAATAGAAGACCCCTTTGGGAAAAAATTTTGTCTCGGTTAATAGAAGACCTTCCATTTATTTAAGATTTTTTTGAAAACTGAGGATTTTCATTAGTTTTTTTACCTCAAAACGTGTCTATTTCTGAAGATTTTCAGCTGAAAAGGGTGTGGGTGTGGGTGTGGGGTGTGTGGGTGTGGGTGGG